AACATGTTTCAGCCTCAATCCTGAGATTCCGACTGGGTTCACAGCTCTGTTCATTTTGCGTGCGGGCACAATTACAAGTTTGGCCGTTGAGCTGCCAGACACGCGAGCTTGAGCAATGCTCGAAACATTATTCTCGTCTGCATTACTCTGCCGTTGCTTGGTCCTGCTGTTCGATTTCGAGATGTAGAGCACCTGAGAGCTCTCGTCCGCAGCAACCGATTGGGCAGTATCGACAGCACCAACCTATAGACTCGCGAGCTATGATCGTTATTTTTCAAGGCGTCTATGCTCGGTCAGTTGTTCGGTGCTAGCTCGAACTGCAGGTCACACACACAAATAATGACTACGCATTGATTTCTTCACTGCGCTATGATGGAATCTTCCATCTTGACGACGGCCATATCAAGTGACTGGGAGCTCCACGAAGTCGCCGGCGGTAACCAGGTTGACGGAGTACCGCCGGCGTCCAGTCGACAGGCTTTTACACATTGTTCTGTCGTCCTGCTTTCTGGGTTTCTGGACCCCACAAGTGGATCCCTTAAGTTGATCACGCTGCCATCTGGGTCTTGGACGCCACAAGATGGATCTCGAAAGTGGTGGCGTCTGACCTTGTAAAGAGCGAAGAGGATTTCAGGTGAAGAAGCTGGAGCCGCAGGGTGGCCCCGGAGCTCGTTCCGGCTTCCGTGTTCCAGCGCCAGAAAAGTTGTGTGATTTGGCAGCGGATTTGAAGAGTTCTGTGCAACAGCAAAAAACAAAACAAAAAAAAAAAAGATGTCCCAACACGTATGCCAGGAAACTCTCTCCAGGAACTTCCAGTTTCCGTCGACAGGCCTCCGCACGTTCTTCTGGCGCCCTGCTCTCCGGGTTTGGGATCCCAGAAGTTGGGATGCAAACGTGGTAGCGTCTGAGTTTGTTAGATAGTTAGGGTGAACATCTTCTATATTTCCCACGCATCAGGGCCTAGAACTCAATATCAAACAGTGCGCATATGATTCTCTCATACCTAGCATGTATTCAAATCACTCGCGTCGTTAATGATTGGCAGACGACGCCTCTGCTATGATATGGAATGGTCTGACCATATTTCGTGGCCCCTTGCTCCTGCGCAGCTTAGACGACCACCGACATATCGCGACATGTGTCTTATTGTTCTTTCGATCTGGCCCTTTTCCAGTCGTCAGACGTCGTCGTTGGAATGCACAATACCGTTTCCGATGCAGTGGTGTATCTGACAGGTCTGAATATTGCCTGTAGTTCGAGTTCAGATAAAGTCCGACAGCAAGCATCTGTCACATGTGCCAACATGAAATCAGTTCCTGGAAGCGAGCTGGTAGTCATACTGATTCTAGAGAGCTGAGCTGCTCACCTGAACTCCACTAAGCTACTCGAGCCGAGAGCTCTACGAGGAACGTACATTGCATGTTGATAATATGTGTTTGAAGATATCGCGTGGTAGATTCATTGTAGGTCTGACGCGTCTGTAGAGTAGTGCTTCCGATGATTCTCGCTTCTGCACTCAAGTGCTCTCGAGCTGCTCGAAACCTTGAAATACAATAGAAGAGTCACACAAAGCAGCAGGAGCTGCAGGATGATATCAGGTTTTATCGATTCTAGCCCGAGTAGCAGACCGAGATTAGAATTCTAAAAGTGGCAGACCGAAACTGCTTGTTCTGTCCGAGTTCAAGCTCAGGCAGGGATCTGAACGCATTCGGAATCATGTGATTTAGTAGGAACACTTTGCGTTGAAGCAACGTAGTTCCATATCCATGTTAGTTTGTCGCAGATAGGTCGGGTAGTCGACCGATCCCAGGTCGCTCGAAACATTGCGCTGATGTTTCTGATGCTGTCGAATCGATTCCTGCAACGAGGAGCCTTGTAGCTGTTTTGAATATCTAGATCAAGTCCTGTCCAGGTCCCGTCATATATTTTGATTGCAGCGATGCAGCTACAGGCCCGAAGCTAAGACAGGAAACACTTGCATGATTTACTACAGGTGCGAACATACTGAATTTCCGAAGCGAGCTTTCAAATTTCAAACCCGACCCCAAGTTGACATTTTGCCTCTTCTTGCCGGGTCGGCCAACTAGCTTCACGTTGCGCCCGAATTCCTTTAGCTTTGGTCGAACCAGGAGCTCTACGAGGTAAGCCCGGATAGCAATGCAGTCATATTGCGTGGGAGATGCCTGTGGGGGGCGCTTGCAAAGACAGTGTAGGGGATGCGTGGTGAACTTGCGCGCCCTGGACAGATACTTGAGGAAACCATTTGTGGCATACTAAGCTCAGATAGCACAGTCCGAAGTGTGGGACATGCCTGTGGGAGATGCTTGCCAGGACGCTGGAAAGGATTCCCGGGAAGCTTGCAAACTCAGGAAATGGCGCTTTGCAGGAGCTCCCAAGGAGCTTCGAAGGAGCTGCAGAAAAGGCTTCCTGCATGCGCATTTGAGGGGCTTGTTTTCCACCACCACCACCATAAGTTGGAGGTGGGGAGGGAGGTGGATGATTAGAAGGAGGGGGAGGATTAGAAGGAGGGGCGCGCATGGCCAGGCTCCCACAGCATCTCATCCAGCAGGTAATCGACATAGATAATAAAGCTGTCCGCGTGCAGAGGCGCCTGACAGAAGTCGCTCTGCAAGTGGCTATCCAGACCCCATCCCTATACTCGGCCACCTCTAGAGCTGATCGTGTGGCCCGCAGTCGAGCGTCCAGGGCCCAGTGTCAATCGAACGTTGAGCAAGCACTGCAGGAGACCACACACACAGCGTGATCGAGGAGGGGGGGTATAAATTGTGTATTGTCTGCCGCGGGCGCCCTACCAAGGAGTGTGGGACGCTGGAGTGGCTTGCCTCGCATTGCCCAGGTCGGCCGCACCAGATCCATCAGCGCCACGATGTGTCTTGTACTCGTGAACCCTGGTGGTGTCGCAAGTGTGGGGCTTGCAGCAGTGCGAAGATCAGCGCAGGGTTGCAAGGCACCTGCCACCGCCCAACAGACTGGGGCAAGAAGGTGCTGTCCAAACTCATGGATGGCCGCCTCCCCCCAGGTCTGAAGACCTGGCCAGGCGAGCTTGGCAAGGGGCTGGGTGCAGGGTGGTTTCACGCGCGCGCCGTCCCTCCGCGTCATGTGCTGACTTGGGGACTTGGAGTGTGCGCCAGGATTAGAAGGAGGAAGAGGAGGAGGGGGACCCCCTCCCCCTTCTACTTATGGTGGTGGTGGTGGACACCAAGTCCATCAGCATTGGGAACGAGCAGGGGAACTTTCTTGGGACCCGCTGCAAGTTCAACTGTGGTGAGCGGCGGCCCAGACAATTGCAGCAAGGCTCGTCCCTGGGCACTTCTAAGCTTGCCAAGCAGCCTTGAGACTCAGGTCAATGCAAGCGGAGGTCACACAGAGCGCCCGATCTTGCAGCATCCTGCACGGCCAGGGTCGCATTGACCCAGGCTTTGGTGCATGATCCTGCAGGATCTTGCAGGTTCCTTCGCATTGAACCGGGCTTGGGTGCAGGATCTAGCAGGATATCGATTGCAAGGTATGACAGACCCAGGTCTGGATTGACCCGGGTCAGCAGATCCCCGACAAGCCTCAGACCCCGAAGGATTCCGTCTCGAGCTAATTCTTCCACTTTGCCAGGTGCTGGAGCAGACCAATTCTTTGCTCTCCTCGTTCTTCGAAGCGGCCACTTCTGTCTCTTCCCTTTCTCCACCCTGCCCCCCCCTCATCACGTCCTCGCGCGTCCTCGGGCCTCCTCCCCCCTAGGGGCGAACAAATGTATCCTGGCGGCTCGGGCCTCCGTGGGGGGTTCCCAGGGCCCCCCAGACCAACCTCACGGTGAATTGCCGATCGCCCAGGGGCCCCGTGCCTTCCCCGTCCCCGTTCTTCCTGAGGCAAAGTGCCACTCGCGTGCTGGTTTGCCCCTGCGCGCCAACGCCCAAAGTGGGCCCCCCTGATTATCCCGCGGGGTACGTCTGATCGTCGGAGCCTCTGTCCTCTTCCCCCGCTCCTTTGTGTGTGCGTGTGGGTGTGTGTGTGTGTGCAAAGTAATGGCCATAGATTCGTCATCGACCTCGCACTTTTCTTGGTATGATCAACCGGAGAACTTCCTTTCTCTCCGTTCCTGCTCCTCGGTGCGCCGCTCGCGCTCCCCTGCCGCTCTTATCATTCGCCCCCCTTATCTATCCTTAGCTGCTCCCTGCCCCCATTGTCCGTCATTCGCTCGGCCCCGGAAGTGGCCCTCGAGGCTTTGGTGTCGGACCTCCCCTCCTCTCTTCTTCGCCCCCCCCCCCCCCCCTTGCGCGACTGTCCAGACCGCTGCGCCTCCCGCGAAAAATTCGCGAGAGTTCCTCGAAAGATTCGCATGAATCCTTCGCGCCGTGCGCTGTCCTCTGAGGCGCCCCCCAGACCACCCCCGTGAAACCCCCCTGGACGATTCGCGAGGGCTGTTCCCGCACGAGACCTCCCCGGGCGACTCGTGCGGAAGCTGAGCGGCGGAGAGCCCCCTGGGCGACTCCACCGTTCGGGCCGACACCCCCATCGGCCCATCGGGCGAGTCGGCCCGTCCTGGAACCCCCCCGGGTGGTCCAGGACTTCCCGCGCCCTCCTAGGCGAGCGGGGGCGCCCGCGGGAAAAGCCCCCGCCTATGCTCCCCCTTTCGGGGGAACTTTGGCGGGGGCGATCCGCGAGCGGGCGGCAGTCGAACCCCCCGGGCGATCGACCGCGGCAGATGCCCCCCACGGAAAAAAACACACACACACACACACAAACACACACACACACGCACACACACACAAAGCACAAATCAACACACACACACAAACAAACAAACACAACGCACAACAATACCAGACGGAACATATGATAACACGAAAAACACAAACACCACACACACGCACACAAACATGATTAAACTATGGCTCTGATTTTGCACACCTAAGCTCCTCTTCGACCTCCTCTTTCACTTCCTCCCCGCGACGACGCCGACGAGGCGCCGCGCATTCCCCCTGAAGGCGACGGCGCGCCAGGCACAAAACGTCCAGCGGAGGCGGAGGACGCGCCGGCGGCGAAGGCGTTGAGGACGGCGTTGCAGGCCCGGCGCTGGCCGTCTCTGGGGGCGATCGGGCGTTGCGCGAGGGGGAGCGGTAACGTGGGGGGGATGGAGGAAGGTGCGCTTCTCGTGCATGTCGGGGGCACGAGGGGTGCACGTTTTTGTTGCCCCCCCTGTGCGTCGCCCCCCACACGACGCACAACGCCCGAGGGCGAAAGTGGGGGAGAAGGTCCGCGTCGTCCAACCAGACCCGAGCCCCATGGGGCCATGGTAATGCAGCCCCACCAGCCCACCCTCCTAGGTGGTGATACGCCCCGCGAGACCCGAAGGGCCATGCATACGTACATCCCCACACGTATGTGAGTAGGTCGGACATTGGGGCGAAGGCCAAGCCAGTGGGGTAGTGACGGGTTTAACGACGCTCAGAATGACAGGATATCAGAGTAGGACAAGATACCAACCGATACAGATGCTCGTCCTGGAGATCCTTCGTCGCCACGGCTAGATTATGTTTGGAATTCTGGTCAGAACACAAGCCTGGAGAGGTCCGGGGAGTAGGGGTAAAAGCCGGCGGTGCTGGCCCGAGATCTGCCTTCTTTAGGGTCCCAGGGGCTTT